CCTCAGTCTCATGAGTAGCTGGGACTACAGGCACATACCACCACATCTGGCTAATTTTTGTATTTTTAATAGAGATGGGGTTTCACCATCTTGGCCAGGCTGGTCTCGAACTCCTGACCTATAGTAATCTGCCTGCCTCAGCCTCCCAAAGTACTGGGATTACAGACATGAGCCACTGCGCCTGGCCTGTGATGCAGTTTAAGAGGCATACACTACTTAGTAAACTAGTCCAGGTGCAATGGCTCACGCCTGTAATCCCAGCACTTTGGGAAGCTGAAGTGGACAGATCACTTGAGGCCAGGAGTTTGAGACCAGCCTAGCCAACATGTTGAAACCCTGTCTCTACTAAAAATACAAAAATTAGCCAGGCATGGTGGCATGTGCCTGTCATCCCAGCCACTTGGGAGGCTGAGGCATAAGAATCACTTGAACCTGGGTGGTGGAGGTTGCAGTGAGCAGATATCACACCATTGCACTCCATCCTGGGTGATAGAGTGAGACTCTGTCTCAAAACAAAAAACAAACAAAAAAACCCAAAAAACAAAACAGAAAGAGGCATACACCTTAGCAAACTAATGGAAGCTTATTGTCAATGACAGGGTTTGTCAATGAGGGAGATCAGATTCCAATTTGATAGGCAACCAATGAAACAGACACACTTGCACACTTGGAAATGGAGGATGAAGATACAATTGATGTGTTGCAGCAGCAAACAGGTGTCTACTGAAAGGGGAACCTGCTTCTTTACTCCAGAACTCTGTTCTTACAGACCAAGATTATATTCCCAATTAGAAAACTGCAACTTGGTTCCACCGCATCCTGACTACTACAGTATAGGTTTCCTTATTTCATTTACCCCTTCCTCATTCCTTTACTGTACATAAATTGCTGCATGTGCACAAGCCATTTTTTTTTTATTTTTAATGAGATAGCGTTTTACTTTGTCACCCAGGCTGTAGTGCAATGGCACAGTCTTGGCTTACTGCAACCTCCACCTCCCAGGCTCAAGCATTTCTCCCAGCTCAGCCTCCTGTGTAGCTGGGACTAAAGGCTGCCCACCATAACCGGCTAATTTTTTGCATTTTTTGTTGAGACGAGGTTTCATCATGCTGCCTAAGCTAGTCTCAAACTCCTGAACTCAAGTGATCCACCCACCTCCCAAAATGCGGGGATGACAGACATGGGACACCACGCCCTGCCTGTTCTGTGTGTGTGTGTGTGTTTTTAACTAAACAGCCAATGGTATGTTTTGATTGACATCAAGTGGATATGGGATGGGGCAAAATACTGTTTCTGTATTTTTAATAAAAATATAACCTTTCTCCATTAGAGGCATGCTCATTCAACTCTTTATATTCTAGTAAGTCACTTTGCTCTTGTTTTAACAACTAAAACAAAAATCCTTGCATACCTTCTTCAACTGGAGAATTTTAATTGTAAAACCAATGACAATTTTATAACTTTTTTGTACATAGCTGTTACATCTAGGGGCAATCTGTCTTTAAGTAGGGATAAATTACTCTAAAAAAAGAATCCTAAATAGTTTTCCCTTCAAGCCAAGTATCTTGTTTAAATAAACTTCTTGTTTAAAAAAAAAAAAATCTAAGTTTTAAGTGAAATAAAAGAAAACTTAAGTCCATTTTGCTGTTTTAAGCCAAATTCTTCATTCTAAAGCAGCAGCTGCTCTTGCTGGTAAGGGTCACAGAGATGGGTATATGGTGCTAAGACTTTTTCTGGATTGGCCAAGTGACAGCTTCTCGCCTGCCGTCGTGGTCCTCCAGTCAGCAGAAGGCCTGCACGAGCTTCTGGGCAGAAGGTTGCAGATCTGGCTGGTTTCCACACACCATGAGCCACTTAGCAGAAAACTTGGCCAGTGTGCAGAAACACTTTAAGTGATTCCATGGGTGTGGAGACATCCTTGCAATGCCTCCTTTTTCCTTTCCTTTTAAAACATGTATCTGAGCTGCCAAAAACCTTTTTAATATGGGCCATGGGCACTATTTTTGGTGTTTGTTAGGTCTGAAGGGGGAACCTTGAAAAGCCTTAGCCTGCGCTTTCTGCTGACAGTTCTTTTGCATAAGTTGCTCTTTCAACACCTTGGCAAAGACACCTGCCCTCTCCCCTCCAGAACCTGAGACTGCCCATGTGACCAGCACCAATGCAGTTTAATGATATTTAAGTCAGTTTCCAGACCAGTTGCAAAATCTAAACACATCTCTAAAAAACAAAAATGGAAAATACATGTTTTTATAGTCTCATTAGTTTTCCTGTCACAAAAAAATGCTTACTTTGCACAGCAAGACCTTCCTCAAATGATGAATAGTTCAAATACAATACATCCATCTATGAAGTAAACTCTAATGGTTACAGTTTATATAGATGGTCTATCGAGATCATTAATAAGCAGTATCATTGGCTAATGAACTGAGGGTAGAGAGGAAAGACAAATGGAATGAGATGTGGTTTGGTTAAGCAGTCAAACTACAAAAATGTTTAGGGCTAGAGTAAAAAAAAGGGGAGGGGTGCCAGACGTGGTGGCTCATGCCTATAATCCCAGCACTTTGGGAGGCTTAGGTGGGCAGATCATGAGGTCAGGAATTCGAGACCCAGCTTGACCAACATGGTGAAACCCTTTCTTTACGGGTGTGGTTGTGCATGCCTGTAGTCCTAGCTACTCAGGAGGCTGAGCCAGGAGAATCACTTGAATCCGGGAGGCAGAGGTTGTTGTGGTGACCCGAGATTGTGCCACTGCACTCCAGCTTGGGCAAGAGAGCAAAACTCCACCACAAAAACAAACAACAACAACAAGAACGGGAAGAGGACAGACAGGCTCAGAGTAGGGGAAGTTTCTTCTTTCTTTCTTATTTTTTTGAGGCAGAGTCTCACTCTGTCACCCAGGCTGGAGTGCAGTGGTGCGATCTTGGCTCGCTGCAACCTCGGCCTCCCAGGTGCAAACGATTCTCATGCCTCAGCCTCCTGAGTAGCTGGGATTAGAGGCGCGTGCCGCCATGCCCAGCTAATTTTTCATTTTTTAGTAGAGATGGGGTTTCACCATATTGGCCAGGCTAGTCTCTAACTCCTGACTTCAAATGACTCGCCCATCTTGGCCTCCCAAAATGCTGAGATTACAGGTGTGAGCCACTGCGCCTGGCTGGTTTTTTCATTCTTGAGGATGAAAGGAAGGGGACAGGAACAAGGACATCAGACTCTGGAGGAGCCGCTGCACATAGTATTCATGTGGAAAGAGGGTGCAGGAAGGAGAGGGACTATTGGCTTTAAGCCTCTTTTATATAACTTGGCATCCTGGAAATCTGACTAGGTTGTTCAACGGAAGCTGTTTCTAGCTAGGGTGGACAGACCATAATTTAAGTCAGAGGGTGTGTGTGTTTTCCTCTTCCTTCTACCCCAGCAAACAGACTTGAAAAACTGAGGGAATAACTGTTTGTTTCTCTGTGGACAACAAAATAGGAACAAGGGGCTAGATATCAAAATGGATTTGAAATACACTGAAGAGGGATTCATCTGGATTAGCAATGAGACAAATAGATAGTGAACTGCTAAGGCACGTAATGTGCTCTGCTAAGCGGTCATTTTAATCCAACATCACAACCTTCCCATAGTGGAGACAATTCCTTACTCTACAGAGGTAAATATGGAGGCAGCTCTTGACCTTAGCCTGGGTTATGCGACAAGTCAGGAAAAGCCAGCCTCACACCACCATAAGGGATCTCTAAGAATGAAGGGATATCTGAGTCTATGGTGCTGCATGAACAAGATCAGCAGTCTTGTTTCCTCTCCAAGAACCCTATGTGGACTCTGAAAATCAGCACTTCCTTCCATTTGACCATGCATAATTTTTCTTTTTTTTTTTTTTCCCCTGAGATGGAGTCTGGCTCTATTGCCCAGGCTGGAGTGTGACGGTGCAGTCTCAGTTCACTGCAACCTCCACCTCCTGAGTTCAAATTATTCTCCTGCCTCAGCTTCCCAACTAGCTGACATTACAGGTATGTACCACCACACCCAGATAATTTTCGTATTTTTAGTAGAAACGGGGTTTTGCCGTGTTGGTCGGTTGGACTGGTTTTGAACACCTGACCTCAGGTGATAAACCCACCTCAGCCTACCAAAGTGTTGGGATTACAGGCGTGAGCCATTGAGGATTGCCTGACCATGTACCATTTTTCATACTGCAAAAATGATTAGGCAAAGAGCTATAAAATCATGGGGAACAACATGCAATTAACTGTGATTTCCTATGTGCCTTCCCCAGGGATCGTAAACTACCTGATAGGCCTTTCCCATTCTTTGTTGTGAGACAAGGTCTCAGTCTGTCACCCAGGCTGGAGTACAAGTAGCATAATCATGGCCACAGTTCACTGCTGCCTCAACCTCCTGGACTCAAGCTATCCTCCCATCTGAGCCTCCTGAGTAGCTGAGACTACAGGAACATGCCATCGGGCCCAGTTAATTTTTACACTTTGCATAGAGATGAAGTCTCACTGTGTTGGCCAGGCTGGTCTCTAACTCCTGGGCTCAACTGATCCTCTTGCCTTGTTCTTCCAAGATGTTGGGATTATGGGCATGAGCGGCTGCCCCAGCAACCACTCCATTCCCAATAACTTGTGTTGAATGCCAATGAGATACACCAAAAAATAATAACTTAGGCTGATTCCTTGGGATAAAAATCCCCCTTCCCTCTCTTATTTTAATCTCCCTTGGAATGTAGCAAAATCTTAACTGCTTATTAAAAGTGCATATGGACATAAAGCAATCATATGCAAAACAGCTGAACACATGGTTAGGAATGTTGGAAGCTCGAGTCTGTTTGTCCTCCATTCCTCTTGGCCTAAGATGCTGATTTTATCAGCACTGGGATATTAAAACCACTGTGTGTAAATCAAACCATAAAGCCTACTCCTTAGGCTGAACTGTGTGCATCCGCCTGGCCACATGTGGGAGGGAAAGGCCTCAGACACAATCAGCAGAGAGTCACAAGGTCATCTTGGATGTGGGCAAATCTCTTTTTAATTGCAAAAGACTTCATTTATAGCACATTCAATAATGAACCAACGGGAGAGTTGCTGACTTTGGAACATATGAATATATAAAAATCCCTTGCAGTTCAGGTAGTCAAGATAATAAGCGCATACAAGGAAAGCAACCTTCAATTTTCTGAAAACGTTTACATTTTAAAAGGTCACTAGGTATACTTGGAAGTTCAAAGCGGTAGAATGTACCTTGGAGGGAAAGGAGGAGGAAAACCCTTTTCCATGTTGTCAGGCAAATGTATATCAAATACATCCCAATTCCACTTGGTAAAGTCAGCTGGATGACCTCCTTGAACCAGGCTGGGGCAGAACACTTAGTGAAAGCGGGCCCTGGGTCGGGATGTGAATCCAGGAGAGGAGCAGCAGATCCCATGCAGCGCCAAGCACACCCGTCCCATCCTCTAACACAGACGAGCACGTCACCCCGTGTCCCTGGACCCAGATGCACGAGACAGTCATCAGATGGTTACTGCTCCCACAGCCTAGCGCTTTCTAATAGTCTTGATTTAGGCCATGGAGAAAAATCCTTCACCACCAAGTGCAAACCGTCATTGAACTTAAGTCATGAGGGATGCTATGGGGCAAATTCTTGTAAATACATATATAAGGACTTCTATTTACCTAATTAGAACAATGATGACACAATTGACATTCCTGTTTTCATAAGGGTTTGTTCTCTACACTGGAATGGCTTAAGAAAAAGTTGTCTACTTTTGGTTTTATTTTACACTTTCAAAATAGAGGGAGTAGAGAGAAAAAGTGTGACTAACTGCCTGACTTTGGAGCCCAGCAGGTACAAAAGCGAACTTCTCTGACTCTGGGTCCATCAGACTTGGGGGAAGTTTCAGTGCCTAGGGAAGGTTAGTGAAGCCCATTACACCCCAAATCCTAAGGAAAGAATTCTACAACTCATCTATCACCGCGTTCTAGCAAAGGATATGCTGAAAAGTACAGGTTTCAACCTAACATCTAAATTTTTAAAAGTAGCATTTCAGCAACAAACAAGCTCAGAGAGCTCGTCACAAAAGTGAAATAACAGAACCACTGCTCAGATGTCAAAAAAGTCAAGCTGCTGCCCTCAGCTCCACTTAGGCAGACACATAAGGTGGCGGCGGCTCCTTGGCAGCACCATTCACAGTGGCATCATCATACGGGGGTAGCAGCACCTGAGAAGAAAGAGGGACGGTAAGTTAGTGTTTAAAGAGCACGCACATTCCGCGAGGTTTAGCTGTCACTGAACTTTTATGCAACTAAACACGTTCCACAACTCGTACCGAGTTCAATTTTTTAGTAAGTGGATAGCCTTCATTAAAAGACCTTCTGAAACCTTCAAGAAACAAATGGAGAGAGACTCTCAAGCCCTGAGTTTTTCTAACCTTGTCCATGTGTACCTGGATGGCCAGAGGGCTTTGACTCTATTAATAAAGAAATGGGGACGATCCAAGATGGCCGTTTAGGAACAGCTCAGGTTCGCAGCTCCCAGTGAAAGCACAGAGGGTGAGTGGACGCCACATTTTTATTGCCCACAGACTAGGAAATTACCGGGCGGAGGTGCTCCACAGTCACCAGCATGGCTGTTTTGCCCCGCGCGGCTGCTTTGTCGGCGCCCCGGAGCTGCGGTTCTCCGTACAAAATATACCGGTCCGGGGGCCCTTTTGGCTGGCAATTGGAGCCACGGGAAGTTGCCCATACGC